GATAGATAGATAGATAGATAGATAGATGGATGGACTTTATTGTCTGTCCCAAATAGATTTGAAGCCGTTAAAAAGTTAAACAGAAGTCACTGCACAAACGTCATCAGCAGCTGAACACGGTCCAGATCAGGGCTGCACCATCGGCAGCCTTTGTCCAGGTGTGTGTTGAACATGACAGCCTGAGGGGGGCGCTGCTGTGACGGCAGACTGTTGGTCACATGACGACACCTGGTCATGTTTGTAGAATCTATAAATCTGATCTTAGTGCAGCTCATCAGACTGAACACAAAGTTAACACACACACACACACACACACACACACACACACACACACACAGAGACACCTACACACACACACACACACACACACACACACAGAGGAGTCACAGTTCAAGGTCCGGTCCACACTAAGTGCTGTAGCAGAGCTGTAGAGCTGTAATGCTGTCAGCTCCCAGCAGGCGGCACTGCCTCCTGCCGCTTTACTTCTCCTTCGTCTTGGCGTCGTACGTCCCGGCGTTCTTGTAGGCTCCCACGTATCCCGTGTTCTCCACCAGCTCCTCGCGGCCCTCGCGGCCTCGGCCCTTGCCGCTCTCGTCGAAGCGCTCCTTGTGCGAGCCGGTGTAACGGGTGGTGTCGGTGAGTCGGTCCACCGCCGCCGTCTTCGACACTTTCTGATGGAACACAAAGGAAAAGGTAACAAACTTGGACGGTGCCTCTGAACCTGAGGGAGGCGCTGCAGAGCTCAGCTCCTGTTCACAACGTATCTGTTAAAAAAAGCGAAAAGTCTTTGAAGTATATTTTAATTTATTTTATATTATTTTGTTTTTCGACTCGGCCGTGAAGGGGAAGAACTGTTTGAGGCTTTTCAACTTCTCCGAGTGGAACATTCAAAGCACTGCCGCACATGAGGCTGGAGGTCCAGCTGGTCCCACCTGGACTTCAGGTGAAGATGCTGTTTGATGCAGATGACTGAGCTGCAGCAGCTGTTTACTCAACGTGGCTGCTTTGGTTGAAGCGCTGCTGCCTTTGCGCTCGATGTCAACTGTAGCTGTGGATCTTCACAGGATCTAAACCCAGAGATGGAACCTGTGTTCACATCTCATCGGTTCTTGACTGTAAAATCCCAGAACTTTCTTTAGCGTCATGACTAAATCTCTCAGACTGTGATGTCTAGAACCAGTGGTCCTGGTCTCACCGTCACACCGGCGTTGGTGGGCTCCTGACCCTCCACCAGCTGGTAGATCGACTGCAGCGCCTCGTCCTTACTTTGGCCTTTGAACCTCTTGGGAGCGAGGTCCTCCAGAGCTCTGCGAAACTCCTCGTAGGTGATGATCCGAGACGTCTTCTGCCTGCAGAAACACCAAGAGTTCAGTCCCACAGCCTCCCAGCAGAACACTTGACTATTAGGAAAGAAGTGAAGAGTTCATTTGCAAAGGCAGATACCTGCATCTCCACAAACCTTCATAGACCCATTGTTCCATGGTCTACCTGAGACAACCAGGCAGAATCCAGGTGTCTCTGTTGTCCTTCCTGCTGAGTCAGCGTCAGTCTGACGTCGTCTCAAGCAAACAACAAAATACGTTTTCTGAAAATCTACAAAAATGGACTCATCTGTTTTTGCAAGTGAACTCTTCCAGCACTCTATAACTTCAAAGGTTGGGAGAGATGCTGGAGGTCCGGTTCGGTCCGAAGCTCTGGCATGTCAGTTTTTATTACATATACGATAGTACGACCCGTCGGGTCCACATCAGTCAGGCACAAACACTCACTTGACTTTGGAGAAGACGATGTCCACGTCGGTGCCGGTCACGCTCTTCCCGTCCACGATCTTACAGTCTTTGCACAGCTTGGCCCAGTTCTTCCCGTTCAGCTCCTTCCCCGTCGCCTTCATGTCTCCGTGGACGGCGAACTTCCTGAAGGCCGCGAGGAGCTGGTCCATGTCCGAACTCTCCGCCATGATGGGAAATATCTACAGAGCTGAGCAGAGAGAAAGCAGCTCAGTCAACAGAACACCCAGCGGACCAGCACCGGCTTCATCGGACTTGTCCTGCTGGTGTAGTGAAGGTTCTGAGAAACCTGGATCCTTTCACTGTTTGGATCAACAAACCTTCAAGTGTTTCACATGAAAGAATGGTTCTGGTTCTGGTTCGGGTTTAACCTGGCGTCAGCCTGAGTCAGCTGGCTGGGATAGGCTCCGCCCCCGATACCTGAGCGAGGGTTCAGGTGTGCAGATTGTGACGGACTGAATTTATCAGCCAGGAAGCTGGAGGATGTCTGAACTCTGTGCTTCTGGGCAGCTGTGTGGAACCAGAACTGGACCTGCAGTCAGACGTGACCTCACTCTCGCTCTGCTGCGACTTCACACTGACGCAACCCTCACCACTGATCGTCATGGAGACCGAGGTGCTGCACAACACTGTTGTGTTTTCATCGCAAGACACACCAGACCAGTCCAGAACCACACCAGAACCAGTCCACAACCACACCAGAACCAGTCCAGAACCGCACCAAAAGCACTTCAGAGCCCGTCCAAAACCACTTCAGAACCATTCCAATACCAGTTCAGAACCAGTCCAGAAGCACACCAGAGCCACTTCAGAGCCGGTCCATAACCAGTCCAGAACAATGTCCAGAACCGTTCTGGATCATGAGAAGAGACAGAGACAGAGCGACTCCACAGAACAACTGTGTGATCCTTCAACATGACCCAGAACTGGGCCTAATTAAAATCCAAAACCTGGAGGACCAGAACCAGGTTCAGGTCGCTGTGATCAGATGACTAGTCAGCAGACAGACTAAACCCTGGACCAGTGGGCCGGTTCAGCTCCAGCGCTGGTCACCAGAAGGCTGACCTGAACCAGCACCAGAACGTTGTTCAGCCCTGAATCCTGTCTGCAGGTATTAGAGCGACACGTCACCTGACAGGCGAGACTCGGGGCTCAGTATGGGTTTGATGAAATGTTTTAAAAAAACATCCTGATGAAGACAGAACCTGCAAACCTCAGTGAAGTGATGTTTAAATGATTCCAGCTTCACAGCCAAAGAACCAGCGAGAACGTTTAAAGGTTCTGATGAGCTCATGATTCAGATTCTTTTCTTCTTTTAACAGTCACCAAGAAAACAACAACTTTCAGTCCTTCATTTAAAACAGCAGAAATCTGATCAGAGTCACACTGTCACGGTTAGGGACACACACACACACACACACACACACACACACACACACACACACACACACACACAC